CCCTGGCTGGGAGCCCCGGGGCTGGGAGCCCCGCTGGCTGGGAGCCCCGCTACTGGACAGCCCAGGCACCACCTCCTGGACATTGCTCTCTGCACCCCTGCCTTGTTGTCCTCGGCTCCTCCAGGAGGACCTGCTCCCTCCCAAGTTCAGGGATGAGGTGTGGGGGGCCGAGAGGGCTGCCCCCATGGCAGGCACAGAACCCAGGCTCCCACCATGTCCCCCGGACACTCTGCGTCTCTCCACACCCTCCTCTGCCGGGAGGGAAGTCGCAGCCCAGGCCCCATCTCCCGGACACTGCTCTCTGCACCCCTGTCTTGCTGTCCTCAGATCCTCCAGGACCTGCTCCCTCCCAAGTTCAGGGATGAGGTCTGGGGGGCCGAGAGGGCTGCCCCCATGGCGGGCACAGAACCCAGGCTCCCACCATGTCCCCTGGACACTCTGCGTCTCTCCACACCTCCTCTGCCGGGAGGGGAGCCGGGAGGGAAGTCGGGGAGCCGGGAGGGAAGTCAGGGAGCTGGGTGGGAAGTTGGGGAGCTGGGAGAGGAGTCGGGGAGCTAGGAGGGAAGTTGGGGAGCCGGGAGGGCAGTTGGGGAGCCAGGAGGGGAGTTGGGGAGCCGGGAGGGGAGTTGGGGAGCCGGGATTTCTGTCTGCTCTGCTGTCAAGCGGCCCCTGGGCGTCAGCTTGCTCACATGGCAGTAACGTGTGCTCCCGCGTGTCCCGCCCCCAGGATGCTCAGGCCCGGCTGGGTTCCCTGCTACCTCTGCCAGGGGCTTCCTGCTACCTGTCCCCATCCCCTGGGCTTTAGGGTCACACCGTCCACCGTGCCTCTGGGTCTCCGTGTCCCAACAGCAGGACAGAGCGGTGGAGGGACACGCCCTGCAGGCCCAGCTTAGAGCTGTCCCTCAGCTCTGTCGCCTGTGACCGCGGGGACGGCCACATGGAACTGCTCACCGTGTGCGTGTGAAACCACTTCCGATCTCACGGGACCCCCCCCCCAGCCACTCTATGGTCCTTGGATAATGACCCATGAAAAAAAGTCCCTGTAGAACTAAGTATAAGGGAAGATCATTTGGCCCCGAAGAGCTGAAATGGCGCGGTGGTTAGATAAGGTTTGAGGATCTGCTGGTTCCCGTCTCCCTCGGCTGCGGGCGGCTCAGGGAGAAACGGGCGCTCAGCCCGAGGGACACGCTGACCCGGACACCAGCTTCCCTTTCCTGGGACGCGGCTTCCGGTTCCGGTTCCTGTTTAGCAGAGGCTGAGCTTCCAGCCACGAGCTCCCCAACCTCTTAGGAAAGCAGCGGGTTTGCTTCCCGCAGGCGCAGAGCCCGCCGACCGGCCCGCTGCCAGGC